AGGGAGGTGATTCTGCCCCTCTACTCTGCTCTGGTGAGACCCCACCTGGAGGACTGCGTCCAGCTCTGGAGCCCTCAGCATAAGAAAGACACAGACCTGTTGCAGCGGGTCCAGAAGAGGGCCACGAAAATGATCAGGGGGATGGAACACCTCTCCTATGAAGAAAGGCTGAGAGAGTTGGGGTTGTTCAGCCTAGAGAAGAGAAGGCTTCAGGGAGACCTTCTTGCAGCCTTTCAGTACTTAAAGGGGGCTTATGAAAAAGATGGCTGCAAACTTTTTAGCAGGGCCTGTTGCGACAGGACAAGGGGGAATGGCTTTAAATTAAAGGGGCATAGATTTAGGCTAGATAGAAGGAAGAAATTTTTGATGCTGAGGGTGGTGAAGCACTGGCACAGGTTGCCCAGAGAGGTGGTGGATGCACCATCCCTGGAAACATTCCAGGTCAGGTTGGACGGGGCTCTGAGCAACCTGATCTAGTTGAAGCTGTTCCTGCCCACAGCAGGGGGGTTGGACTAGATGACCTTTAGAGGTCCCTTCCAACCCAAACTATTCTATGATTCTAAGTATGAGTTGACAGCCTTAAAATATTATCTCATCCATATTATTTTCATTTTAGGCCTTCATTAAAGCCTGTAATTTACATGATGTCATGTTTCTTTCCTTTGCAGAAATGCAAACATGATATTTTGCGCATGAAAAGTTTGACATTGGTGGAGTGAATTATAGGGATATTGATGTACTCTACTTTCTCAAAAGGTTACTGTGATCTTTTGCTGATTAAGAGACATGTTACTAAGATAAATGCTTCAGTTGCTATTAACAACATCTCTCAGTGAAAAATCAAACATTTATACACAAAGTGCTGAATAAGATAAAGAAAGGATACTTGTTGTGTCAAAGCAGGAGGTCTATGACCTTAATGATGCTGCATCGTATCATAGTATAAACGTAAATGCTTGACTTACGCAACACCAATGCTCTAGTCTTCACAGCTCAGAAATGAATAAGCATGAAAGGCACATTTAAGAAAGTTTTTTCCAGGTGGTACCCTTTACATCTGCTGGCCATCTTGTTCTGTCTAGTGAAAAAGGTATGAAGGAAAAGAAGCTACCAGCAAGACTAGATGTAATTTTAATAAAAAATTAACTGCTATTTTGTATCTTGATTTCAGAAAAATTCAATCTGCCTCTTTTTGCCATAAAGATACTGAAAGTGAAAAGAAATTAATCTAAAGCAGACCAATGCTAACTGGACCCAAACCACTCCAAGCATATCTGACATATAACATAGAGGTGCTGACTTCAGTTCAAGGCAATAGCCACCTCTTTTTGGACACCCTAATTCGTATCACACACATGAGCTTTTCTACCCTCTCCAAAGACATGGATCCAGTACAGACATGCAATTCTTGTCCTCAGGACTGATGCATTTGTTGAAAACATGCCAGACAATCTCAGCTTTCACCTAACCAACTACAAACTCCCACTGGTTAACTTGAACTTGCTGCTCAGAGGACTTGATTTAAAAGACGGTGTGGAGTAAGGAGGTGCAGAAAAGCTACAAATGATTGTCATTTGATCAGAGAAGGTCTGGAAAGGGGAAAAAAAATCTTTATCCCATCTTGACATGCATGTATGAAGACAACTGTAATTTCAATGACATGGTGAAAAATCTAAACAAAGACTAAAAACCTGAAATGGAGTCTTTGCAATGAACCGATGCATAAAAGCTGGATCTAAATGTACGCTTTTGAACTGCAGATCTGAAAGCAGATGCATATACAATAGCATGAGATTGTTATTATCTCAGTTACAAAAAATGCCGCACTGATAGAAGAGGAGGGGGATACCAGCAGATAGTTGAGAACAGATGTGAACAGGCTGCCCTTTCCCACTCAGAGGGCTGACTTGGGTGCTCATGAGAACTGCCTGACAATTGAACGAAGAAGCTCAGACTGCTTCAGTGAAAGAAAGTTTGCACAAAGAAGGATATCCACAAAGCAATTACTCTTTACTGTCAGCTTCACTGACTTGAGAGCTCCTTCACATTGCTGCTGAGGTGAGAGCATTGAAACTGAAGGACTAACAGGATTTACCAGCACTGTTAGCAGGTTTCAGAGTTGTTCTCTGGTTATCCCATATAGTTATTTAAACTAATTAATCTCCATTTTTTATTGACTGTTCTTTCTTTGTTTGGCTTTACCCCTAATTTGAAGGACATTGAAGAGGGCTGGCCAAAATAAGATGCACCCAGGATGCTATTAGGCTCCTGTGTAACCCAGTTCATTGTTTAGAAGAAAAGGGTGCAGCTACCTGACACGCAGTAGGTGGACGATAAACAGCCAGCAACTATGGAGCACGTTTGGGGAGGATCACTGGCAGGTCAACAGCTTTCAGACATATATAGGTACACGTATGGGAATACAGATACACTAGTTTTCTCCACAGATGTGGAGAAAAAGATAAAATTCCTTGAAAATTGTGTTCAGTGGGTTGAATATTCCAATACCTGTGATTTGAAAATGTTTCATTTTATTACTCTGACTCTAAAGACTAATGATTCTGGTTAAATATAAGGATCCCACAGGAACTATGAAGATAAATAAACAGGTCCTGAGCAAACCCCAAGAATAAAGGGGTGGGAGAAGGGCAAAGATGGCAATGAGACAGAACCACAACTAGAAGATTATGGGCACCAGCAGTCCAGCCATTGCCCAGTATTTTACTGACTTTAAAAAAGGATGGTTTTCAGAAGGTATTCTGGGAAAAAACAATAAAGCAGCTTTGCTCTATGTGAGAAACCACATGCAAGGTTGAGGGGATATATGGGAAAAGGCATCTCTGAAATCTAAAAAGTGGATAATGGAAGAGGTCATTGTAGGCCAGCTGGAATTAAGAGATGAGATTTTGAAAGGAAACATAAAATGATGAATGAGATGGTTGGCACAAGGTTTTATTTGTGATATAAATGGTCTCCATGTGAAAGCAAGAAACTAACTGAGACAGAAAAGGGAAAGGCCAGAGACTAAGAAAAACACAAATAGCTTGTTCCTTTGATTAATCATTTCAGGTTTCCAAATCTTCACAGCACTCCCAGTTTGCTCTGCATCCAGCCAAAGAGCAGAGTACTCATCAGTCACTTGTTATTTCCTCAGCTTGTATTTTTCCCTCCACAGGTCTGTATAAGGCTAATTTGCCTTTTACTGCCATTGCTGAGCAGTTTGTGGACACTGCACTGACATTTACCTCTGCTTGTGATTCTTGTGTATTTTTTTCCAACTCTACTATGTCTCAGGCACATGACAATTTTAAGATGTGCATTGTTTCCCTTGGACATATGTGCATCACGTAGGCAAGGTGTGTGTTTATTCCCACTGATGATTTACGGCTGCCCTCAGCATCGAGCGCTCAATACACACACACAGAGATGTGGACTTGAGCAGTCACTTGAACAACACGTGGGAGCGACTGTGTTGCAAGCACCCTTTCTCCTGGGCTCCCCTTTTGCTCTTCAGATAAAGGCCCTTCTTTCATGCTGGCAGATGAGGGCAGCCGTGCTGGTGGGCAGCAGCAGACGGAGAGCAGAAGAGCAGTGCCACGCTCCACCCACTCCTCCTTCCCCACATGCTCCTCAGCGCTCAGGGACCACTGCTATGCCCAGGACACATGAACAGTGAGCTGTCTGCTCCTGCACACTGGCCATACGGCCAGGGCTAACACTGTCCTTAAGTGGCAATAAGGTCAGGTGGCATCCTGTTGCTGCAGGGCTTTCCCAGGCAGGGAGGAAAGCATGCGTGGGCTCCCACTGGTAGGCATCAGGTTTACATGATGTGAATGCACATATGCCCTTCCTGCTCTTTTGCTTCTTGCCTTTTAACAGCAATTGTTCCCATCAACCTGTCTCTTTGCAAATTTGTCACATTTTCCAAAGAACAGACTTGGAGGCTATCTAGTTGCTTCTGTGAAATAGGTAAAAAAAAAAAAAAAATCCAATTCTGGAGGAGTCAGGGTTTTGCTGATGGTTCCCACAACATAAATCCAGTACTGGGTTTGGGCAACATAGCCTACAGTTGAATTTGGACCTACAAAAATAAATGTAGCCCAGATTGTGAAATAAATGAAATAAATGCTCCTAAAGCAAAAATGGTAGCACATTTGGAAGATGAATTGGAGTTGTGCTGCTTGAAGCACTGGTTCCAGCAATCCTGGACTCACAAAAGCAAGTCTGCTTCATGATTATTTAGAAA